TTTTAAACTTATATATATATTTTATATAATAAAAAAAACAAATAGTGTTAGATTTTCTCTTGTATCTTCCATGAAAATTAAACCTCCACTATTAAATTTCATCTTTTTAATTATTTAAATATTATTTTTCTTATTTAATTAAAAAATTGAAATTTTATTAAACACAAATATAGTGTGAGAAGATTTAAATCCTAAATACCGAGATAAAAATGAACAATTTTACTAAAATTCATATAGTATAACCAATATTTTAATAAGTATAATTTATAAAACTAAATATTTATTATATATTTATATTAACCACGTCAAAATATCATTACTCGCATAATAAATACTAATAGACACTTCATACTTTTCTATATATTTTACTCAATAAAAATATTTAAGAATTATTAATGTTTGTTAGATTAATCGATATTGTACTTAATCTTTAAATTTTAAGATCTTGAATCTTATATTTATAAGAATAATTAATTATTAATATATATATATAGATATACCTCTAGCTAAAAAAATACAAACCCAGACGTCAATGCTAGGTGATACTCTAACTAATTTGTGTGATGATTTTATTTCATGTCGCATTACTTTGGTAAGTGATAGATACGTTTGGATATTTTAGGAGCAAGTGTTAAATTTACTTTGCTTCAAATTTTTTTGTAAGTATATGGTTAGAGTGAATGATCTCATTTAAATATTTGTCGTGTGAAGTGTTGTCAAAGTTAACAGTGAAGGTATAGATGGAATTTACAAAATTCTATATAACTACTATTTTAATATATTTTTAATGTGCAGAATAAATATTATTTTATATAAATAAAATTTATAATAAATAAATATTTTAAATATATAAATTTTATTATAATTAAAATTTACAATAAGTAAATATTTTTAATATGATAAATAAATCATATTGTAATATAAATGAAAAGAAACCTAAAAATATTCTTGTAGTATATAAAGAAAATTTCTTAAAAAGACTAATGTTTATATAATTATTCGAATTTATATATAATAGAATTGAATGACAACTATAGAGAATTAATTTCTTGAATGTTAATGATTTTCTTCTTCCCAAAGCTACTAGAATTTTATGAAAGTAAAACTTTAATTTTTTTATATTAAAGAACAACATCAACAATATTTATAAAAAAAATGTATATATGTTTTCTCCATTTAAAAATTAGGATACAGAAATTGGCAAAGCTGCTAAAAGTCAAAAGTGGGATTTTCTTCTAGAAGTATCCAGAAGAGAAAAAGAAAAGAAAAAAAAAATGTAATGCAATTTTGTAATTCAAGAAGTAGAAGGATAGTAAGCATAGGTTTGGAAATTGGAATACGGTGACGCGGGAGATATTCTGGAAGGTAGGATTTTGTATTGGTGTTGGCGGGTCCACCAGTTTCCCATGCGCCGAACTAAGTCAACGGGAAATGGCCTGTAACCGGTTGGTTTCCCACACGCTTTTTCAGTGTCTATTGCTATTGCCACTGCCAGTGATGTTTTAACTCCTCATTGGCTGGCTCATTATGGAGGTGGGGCCTACGGGACCACTATCTACATTCTACAATCTCATAAGTATATCAATTCTTCATATTTAATTCAATTATACACATTTAAAATTATAAAACACGATTTGATTAAGTAAAATACAATATACATAAAATTATTTACAATTAATTTAAAATTTTGTTTCACAACTTTATTTTGAAAGAAAAAAAGTTAAAAAAAGATGTCTAGCCTGAATAATAGTAAGATTTTAAAAAAGTACCCATTCTGATTGAACATTTAAGAGTGAATCATGCTGATTACTTTACTAAATTTTTCTCCTCCACAAGGATCTCCTTTCAAAGATAATCTTGTTCAACACATTGTTAGCATTTAGGTAATAAATATGTCAGTATTTATCAATAGAAATTCGAACATTGATTCACTATTTTAAGGGATTAATAGATAGTTCTTTACTTCTTTTGCTAGATTCAATAATTTTTTTTAAATAATAATATTTTATAATCATGCCATATCTTTTTAGCTATTAAAAAAGAGATATAACAAGAGATAATAATTTCAATTTATTTATAAAATAACGTTAAAAAAAATCATACAATTATATTTTTTTCCCTAAATTTTTGGGACTCTCCTAGTCATGGTCCCAGGCCGTTGCATTTCTAAACTAAGCCCGAGGATAGTTCTAATTATCATTTGTTAAAGTTTAGTAATAATTAAAATATAAAAAAATTAAATAAAATATGAAATCAACAAAATATTGTATTTTTAATAATTTTAAGTCAATAGTGGCAAGTGTTTTAAAAAAAAGGTTTGACAGAGGATATCTTATCGGTATTTTTCATTTTTCTAATTTTCTTTCGTATTAAACAATTTATGAAATAATCTTATATTTTCTTATTTTTTTTTCTCTTTCACTTTTTCCTTCTGTTTTTTCATTCACACTCTTTTGTTTTAGATTTCTTTATTACTTTTTTTTCTTAAATCAAGCAAACCATTAATATTTCTCTTTTTTTTCTTCTTCAAATAAGATTTTTAAACATTGAAACTAATACAAAATCATAATAAAAGAATATTATATTCATTCTTTTATAACTATATTATAAATGTAGTAATTTTATCAATAATTAATCCGTCAAAAAATTGATTGAAATTCTTTTTTAGTGGCATTGAAGACATGTTGCCAGTGACGGATTTAGAAAATTTGTTAAGTGGGGCCAATAAAATATTTTATGTCCTCTTTACTAAAAAAATTTAATAATTTTTTGAAAAATATATATGATGAAAATTTAAAATACCTTATTTTAATAAATTAAAATTATCTTATAAATAGAGTGATAATTTTTTCTTTTTCTCTTTTTGTTTGATATTATATTTAAATGTCATTTTATAATATTTTGTGACTTATTTAATATTAGAGGAACAAAATCATAAAATTTAATAGGATAAAAATAATAAAATTATTAATTTGTTTTTTTTTATTTTTCTAAATTTCTACACTCATTTAAAACAAAAATATTTTATGAGTGCAATATCTATTTTTTTATAAGAATAAATGTCTTTATTTAAATATGCTTAAGTAAAAAAAAAATTGTGTGACAATTGCTGTCATTCCTTTAATGTGGATTGTCTCCTACCAACATACAATATGCATATATATGATCAAATGGTTAAAAAAATTGAAAAATAACCTACATCAATAAACTAAATTATGACACATTTAATGAGTAAAAAAGTAATAACTCTTTTAGTCAAAAAAATATAGTATATTATAATAATAGTAATAAATAAAAAGGAATTTACTTATTTCAAGAATAAATTTTAATAGACTTACTTCGCTCAATAATTCATGTTTTACATGAAGTATTCATCCGTTCAATTAAAAGTCTTTAATGTATAGATCGAATTTATAAAATTTTAAAAAAATTTAAAATTATTTGATACCTTGTTTCATTAATTTAAATTGAAGAATAATCATTAAAAAACATTTTATATATTATTTTGAATTTAGCTAACAAAATATCATATGATTTTTAATTTTTTTAAAAAATTTGTAAACTTGATCTATATATTAAATTTTTTTAATTTAATAATTAAATTTTTAAAAATTTGATATAAAACATTAGTTATTGAAAAAAAATAAATTTATCAAAACTTACTTTTAAAGTAAGCAAATTTTTTTTTCATAAAAAATTAAGATAACTCTATCACAGAGTAAAAGTAATTAAATAATAATATAAAATATCGATATATTTTATTATATTATATATAATAAGATAATTAAAATATAATTAATAATATATATTTTATAAAATAATTAATATTTAATATAAAAAAGAAGATAAACAAAATCATCCGTCATTGCATGTTGGTATATGATTTGATTTTGTCTTTCATCGGAAACATGTAGATTAAAATTGTGAGATTAAGCGGATTAACCAAGATAAGAGTGGCAGTTAAGAAAAAATTGCCTTAATTTGTTAATAATGTTAAACTCATCTTAAAAAAACCAATTCAAAATAGGGAAAGTCAACCTAGAAAAAAGTCGTTTAGGGTGTGCAATTACTGTAACGTTAGGTAAACCTCTCGAGCGAGTTTTTGGATTTTCATTCGTGTTTATTGTCTCCATCACTTCTCCTTTAGGCCATTATAGTCAGTTTTTCTAGATGAGCCAATTCTACTAAGAAACAATCCTTAAAAAATAAATAATCATTATTCTCTTCCACTCATAATCAACGTAGAATTTAAGAATAAATAAATTTTATAAAATTATAATTTTATTTCATCTATTTATTAACCTTTTTATTTTGTATAAAATAACAATAGCATTTATTATAAAACAAAAAAGTATTATTTATTATTAATGTTGACACGTAACAAATTAATAAAATAATATTTAATAATTATCTTTTATAAAATGTAAATTCAACATATCTAATAATTTATATATGATGATATTACTAATAAGATTAAGTATATGACTTAAATTTATTTACCTTTCGTTCATATATAAACATAGTTTATACAATATTCTAAAATTAATAACTAAAAATTACTTTATGTTTTTGAGACATGTCTTTTCCTGATTAAATATTATTTTATCACATACAAAAATCTTAATTTACTTAATAATTTATCTATTTTAATATATTAAGTAATATTTAAAATACATATAAATATTTATTATTAGATATCATATTAAAAAAATCTAAATCATTTAAAATTGAACATATATAATTATAAATATAATATAATTAAATACAACAATAAAATTAATTATATTTATATTTTATAAAAATTATTAAAAGTATTATTTCACTAATTTATTATCGTGATAATTTTTTTTTCTTTTTGTAACATCCATCCAGAAGAGATAGCCATAATTAATAGATAGCCATTTATGATGGGAACAATATCACATCACTGACAAAAGGTCAAAGTAATATTTAACACAGATACTCGAAGATGTCCCAACTCATTTGACTATATAATATTCGGCACTAACTTTTTATTTTTTTCATTTTTGAGAAAACTTCACTAACATTAATTTATAGCCGTCATCCACTTTAAATATTATCCTCCTCCTTGTGCATCTCTTCATCAGATTCAACAACTATGGGTATGGCAGATGCAAAAGAAAGGTACCACTTTCTCTCTCTATGTTCTAGGCCAAACATAAAACATATTACATATATCTATATTTGATAACATTTTAAGGATTTGTTTGTGTTGTGCTTTCAGATATGCTGTTGTGACAGGTGCAAACAAAGGGATAGGATTGGAGACTGTGAAAGGGTTGGCCTCAAAAGGAATCAAGGTGGTGCTCACGGCCAGGGATGAGAAGAGGGGTTATCAAGCTGTTGAGGAATTGAAGAAAAAGTGTGGTTTCTCTGGCCTTGTGGTGTTTCATCAGCTTGATGTCACTGACCCTGCTAGTATTGCTTCTTTGGTTGAGTTTGTTAGGACCAAGTTTGGGAGACTTGATATATTGGTAAGATTTTGATCATATTATACTGAATATTCTGATCTATGCTTCATTTTTTTCTTCTACTTTCTCTTTTTCTGTGAGTAAAGGCAGTTTGGTGAACTATTATAATATGACAATGAGTGGAATCTTGCATATGCATTGTGCCCCCACTTAGTTGGTTTGGTTCAATTGAATAATATGATTCTCAAATACCATTTGTCCGGTGATTCTAATGCACAACACTAGTGATGAACAGTGTGTCCAAAAATTATCCTTTAACTGTTGTTGTGTAATCTTTAATGGCTCAATTCTCCATCTGTCCCACTAATAATTCTTCCTCTGGCCGAACAAATTTTTTATGGTTTATCTTGGAATGGTTTCACAATTCTACATACTTATAATAAATTTTGATTGATCTGCAAAATCAATGAGCTCAGCCTGATCTGGCTGACACCAACCTGATTTAGACATAGTAATTGGTATCAAAAACTTACCATGACTTATATTGGTGATGTTGAAAAATCTCAATAAATTCACCATAACAATAACCTGTATTTTTTTTGTTTCTCTTTTTCTTTACTTGAAGGAATCACTTGACAAATTCCATATTCATGTGTAGGTGAACAATGCAGGAATTAGTGGATTCAACACAGATGGCATGGTCAGTGTTCATGTTTTGTTTACACTGCTTGAGGGTATTGGTCTATATATTGAAGCCTCTAGAAATGATTTGGGTTTCTTTTACACTATTGCAGGTGCCATCTAAAATTAACTGGAAGGAGCTGCCTCAAACTTATGAAATGGCTGAAAAATGCCTAACAACAAACTATTATGGTGCTATGGAAACAACTGAGGCATTTCTTCCACTTCTTCAATTATCCAATTTTCCCATGATTGTAAATGTTTCTTCAGAAGCTGGGCTATTAAAGGTAAAAAAAATAACATAACTTTTAAACTCAATTTATCTTACTTCAACAACATTGAATAATGTGTTTTTATGTTGTGTTTCAGTACATATCAAATGAATGGGCAAGGAGGGTGCTTGATGACACTGAAAACCTTACAGAAGAGCTGATAGATGATGTGCTGAAGGAGTATATGAAAGATTTGAAAGATGGTTCCATTGAAAAAAAGGGGTGGCCAACCTACCTTTCTGCCTATATGGTCTCAAAAGCAGCCATCAATTCTTACACAAGACTTCTGGCATATAGGCACCCAAACTTGTGCATAAATTGTGTGTGTCCTGGTTTTGTTAAAACAGACATTAACCGAAACACGGGCATCTTATCTGTTGAAAATGGTGCTGCTAGTGTTGTCAGATTAGCATTGTTGCCTAATGGTTCCCCTTCTGGTCACTTCTTTACTAGGCAACAGGTGTCAAGCTTTTGAATGATTTGTAGGTCCTGATTGGATAAACTTCTTTGTAAGTACTCGTAGATGAAAAAAATACAAAAGTTTTTCTCATAAGTTAAAATTAACATATGTATAACTGTATTAGTTAATTTTAATTTATAAAAGAAACTTACTTTATTTCAAGTGTTTATGAAGAAGTTATCCGGATCAGGACCTTTGTGTTACAATCTTGTGGATCACATGTGGAAAAATGATTGGGGGTGTGATGTGTCTTGGATGAAATGCTTACCCTTTGGTCTTTTTTGTCACATAATGGCATGTGGGGTAATGCATCTAAGTTACTTGGCTCTTTTATCTTCTCACATTGTTGGCGCTTCAAATGGTCAAATCCAAATCGCAATGATTTTTGACTATCATATACCATGACATGAACCTTTCGGCTGTGAGAAAATTATCAACATTAGGTCATTATAATGTTTGGCCTTGTCATCTTTGTTGTGATCAGAGTGCTACTTGACTTCAAAACTTGAACACGTGCAATGGTAAAGCACTGCTGATAGTAAAGCTTCACAATGATGGATGTCTGAATTCATGTTACGACAAAAGAAAACACAACAATTGTAACAGGACTTGCCAATGGTGCCATTATTTTTGTGTAGGCTATACCAAATTTACTATTTGTGTATCTCTCAGTCTCTCTCATAACATAATATTATGACCACATTACTAATTGATATGATAGGTTCATAGTTACAGTGTATGGCGCAAATTTTTCAAGGCTTTGAAGTTGACTGAATTTTAATCACATGAAAAATGCACGAATATCAGGCTTTTTTGTTCATCCTTGAAGTATCAACCGCCGACAGCAGTAATTAATTTCCTCGCTACGTTGGAGGCACCTTAAAGGGTGGGATAGCTGACCCCAAGATTTAACGCGGCTGCATTCACAAGGCAGGATTCGAACTCCTGGCCTTGCTTAAGCGTGGATCAACCCCTACCGCTGAACCACACGCTTGGGGTTACAAATAACATGCTTTAGTCCTTTGTTTCTTCACTGAGTATTTATTTTCAAATTATATTATTTATAATTTTCAAAAAAAAAATTTATAATATATTTTAAATAAAATTACACTTTTAATCTCTATTTTTATTAATTCGTAATTTTGTTCTTTCTATTTTAAAATAGAAATATTTAGTTTCTAATTTTAAAATTACATAATTTTGGCTCAATTTGACATTCAGTAATAATTAAATTTTAATATCGACCCATAACTTCTCTTTTCATATTTAAATGATATGATATTTAATTACATAATAGTTAGAGATAAAAATTTGAAGAAAAAAAATATAAAAAATATTTATTTATATTTATTTTAATAAATGCTTGATATTTATCTTATTATTAAATTTCATTGGTAGATTTTTTTTTCTTGTTTTCACTTCTAAATGCCATGTCACTAAATATAACATCACTTAAATGATGATAGAATATGAACCAATGTTAAATCTTAACTGCTAGCGAATGACAAATTAACTGTACATAGAACCAAATTCTTTATTTTTAAAAGACTTAAAAATACTTTTAGTCCTCAAATTTAAAGTAAATTTTTTTAGTCTCTCAAATTTAAAATTAGTTTTTCAGTTTCATTAATTTCAAAATATATTATTTTAATCTTAATACTCAAATTTTATTAGGGAATTTATTAAATATGATTATATAAAATTTATCTACTAATGTCTCTGTTAGTAAAAATATCATAATAAATACAATTGAAACTGTATAATTGTTCCAATTTATTATTTTTAGATATATTATTGGTGACTTAAGGAAGTAAAATAAGATTTTTGAAAATTATAAAAATTAAAAATAATATTTTTTAAATTTAAGAGATCAAAAACAAATTTACTCTAAATTTGAAATACTAAAAATATATTTAAGCCTTTTTAAAATTAAGAGACTAAATATTTCTATTTTAAAATATGAATACCAAAATGAAGGATTAAAGAAAATATAAAAAAAAAATAGGAGACTAAATCTCTTTTAAGAAAAAAAATAAAGAAATTAAAGAGATTATGCAAACATAATATCATAAATATCATAAATAAATATTTATATATAAAAAAGTGTAGTTTCTAATGCATATGAATATGACATTGTTTATTATTTTAAAATTTTATATTATATTTGCATAACCTTAATCTTTTGACCATGATTTTAAGGATATATTAATTGAGTTAGTTACCTATATACTGTCAGTGTAAAGTTTTTTTATACTGGCAATCAATCATATTTTTTAATAATATCATGTTAGTTGCTTATTTAATGAAATAAAAATAAAATAAAATAACTTAAAAGATATGGTTGTTGCCGGTGTAAAAAACTTTACACTAACAATGTATTGATGATTAATTTATATCGATTTGGTAATTTGCATGTATGGAATACAAAATTATGTTATCTTCTCTTTGTTTTCTTTTTAAAAATATTAATAATATGCATTGAGTATACAATCACATTATTACACTAAATTGTACTTAAATAGCTTCCGAAGATACATAATTACATATTGAAACAACATACGTCTATCATAAATTTATAAAATATATAAATAATTATATATTTGTTAATTATTTTTAGTTAATTAACTTAAACAAACTTATCTCATGCATATAGATATACTTATTTTAGGAAATATAAATAAAATTTATTTGTTAAATATTATATATTAATTATTAAATAAGTTTATTAATTCAAGTATTATACATATCTATACTTATAAAGAAACTCTATTATCTGTTAAATTTTATCTAAGTATTAAATAAAAGTTTATTTTACATATATGAATGACAAATAAACCTGTACCCGTGGGTAATACTTGAACCCGTCCCGACTTTGACAGGGAATACCTGGTTTGACTGGGTACGGGTATGAGTATGGGTAAAACCCGATATGTTAAATCGGGTACGGGTATGGGTATAGTTATTTAATTATTAAGAAATCTCTTGATTAAAATATGAGATAGAGAAATAATTTAATTATAATTATAATATAATAAAAAATTTAAAATATTTTTTTTTGTAAAAAAAATTATTTTTTACGGGTACGGGTACGGGTATACCCGATACCCGACAGGGACGGGGATGGGGATGAAAGTTACATACCCGACAGGTACGGGTACATGGATGAGTTTGAGTTGCGGGGACGGGAACATGTATCATGAAACCCGTAGCCGCCCTACCCCGTTGCCATCCCTAATGATAGTTATATTATATCCTTATTTCAATTTTTACACTTTTTATTATAAAATTGTTACTCATTATCTTTACAAGGTGTGTGTTTGATTCACTAAAATTTATGTTATTGTACAAGACAAAAAAGAGGAAGAACAATATGACAAAAATCTTACTTTGTTACTCAAGAAATCTCGAAATAATATTTTATATCCCAATTAAAAAAAAAACATTCATTGTCATTGATGAGTGCATGGAATATGTTATTTTTATTTTATATTTAAAAGTATTTTATGAAATTATTGTATATATTTAACTACAATTCTCCTCTAATTTTATTAGTAATTCAAAGGAAAATGTTAACTAGTATGTGATGAATTTTTAATTAAATTTTCTCTTTTTTGTGTAGAAAATGCAACAAAGACAGAGATCTAGCACCATGGCGCTTACTCATGGTTGCAACTGTGAAGGGTGGAGAAAGAATGAATAATTATAAGTCAGAGAATTAACGTTATAACATTGGTCTATGGCCATAATGGTGAAAATTTAGAAGTGAAGAACAAGAGATCTTAGCACTGCGACAACCCAAGTTGTGGGAGTTTTCTTCACCTTGAAGGATTCCTCATCGCTATAGTGTTGATTCATGGTTGCAGTAGTGGAGTTAAAATTTCCAAATTTTTCCTACTTTTAAAGATCATATAAATAGTAAATAAGGGAGAGAAAAAGGATGAGAGGAACATGAGATAGAGAGAGAACACCCAGGAGAAAGAAAGGAGTTGGAAGATTAATATCCTGTGGGGACAAAGGTCTTTGCCCTCTCCATTTTTTTTCTTTCTTTTTGTATTCTTCATCTTTGAATCAATTAGAGTCCTCATCATGAGTGACCAATTTTTCTTGGATTGAGTTTGAATATAACTACCAACACTTGTGCAATCCTTTGAATCATATATGTGTGTGTGTGTCTCTCTCTCTCTCTCTCTATATATATATATATATCTATATATATATATATATAGTTTATCATATTTATGATGTGATTTTGATCTAAATGTTTAAGTCGATTTGATCACTTATCTTTTGATTTATAATTTTGAATCTTGTTGGAAAACATTTTTTAAATTTGGTTTGGATCATATTTCACCAAACAATGACTTGAGCTAGGAATAGACTTGAAATTATTAGCCATTTATATCCTTATGCTTAATGTAAGGATTTAATCTTGATCATTGAGGAATCATGTTTCAAGGAATCCTTAGAGATTCAAGTTTGAAGAACCAATTTGAGTGACTATATATGGATGTGGGAATATGAAAACTTGAATTCATATAAGAAATTAATTGGCATAAGTGTTGTGAAAGTACATTTAACCTTAATCTCTCTCTTGCATAGGAATCACTTCTTAAATCAATTTTTTGTTAAATATCTCATTTACAACTTATCTTATTTACATGATATACTCAATATAATTGTATATGGTTGTTTATACAAATTGAATTAGGAGAAAAATTACATAATATATGCAAATCCTTAAGAAAGATAACTAAAAGTCCTCCTAGCTTTGCTTTTACAGCATCATTTTTTGGAAATTTTAATAAAGTTGTTTTAATTTGATACCATATTTCCAGACAATTAATTTATTTTGCAGAATAATTTATTTTATTTATACAGTAATAATATTAATTTGTTCTTAATGTCAAAATTAAACCGATCGATAAAGATTACTATATGTAGACTTAATTCAGTTGATTGTGTGGAAAGAGAGAACGTCAAAGATTAAAAATGATACAGTACTAATACACGCTTGTGCCTTTTAATTAAAAATCCGATTCGATGTTTATTTATAGAGATAAAATCACGATTGAAAAAGAGTTATATGGAGTTTTAAACCAAAACTAGACATAGATAGCCACGTTGCGCGGTTTATTGAAATTTCCTATTTTTTTATATAATATTTTAATATATATAAATTAAAATTTTGTAATATAATAATTATTATTTTGGAATATATGAAATAAATATATGATAATTGTTATATATAATTTTTTTTATTGATTATATTATAAATTTGTGTTCACACTTCTATATTAAAAAAATCATTAAAAATAAGTATTGACATTATATACAAAAATAAACATCAAGTAAAATTAGTTTTATAAGAGTGAAATTGAAGTGAATGTAGATAAAGGTAAAAAATTTATTATTGAAGGAAAAAATTGATTACAAAATAACAAACCACCAATGAAACAAAAATGATATTAAAATGAATACAGATCACTATTCAAATTAATGGATATTTGATAATTTTCTTTTTTGGTGTTAGGTTGTTGAATTGTTTTTAATTTCTTTAGTTTGTTTTTCTTTAAACTTTGAATTACAATTGACTCTTCATCTAAGAAATTATCAACAATTTGTATAAATGTCTTTCTTCTTGAATGAGCCTTTTTTATTTGATGATGATCCATCCTTTGACTTCTTGGATAGTTTTTTGTTTGTACTTACAATAAATTCTTTATCCGAGAAAGAAATTGACCGTGGTGATTTAGGCTCCTTATTTGAATTTTAAAAAAATAGTAAATAATAATATTGAGATTCTTTAAGATAAGTTTTAAAGGATATAATATATTTTTTTTTAATTTTAGTATTAAAAAAATGGGACATGACAGATTCATATATATCCACAAAATAAATATTAGGAGACCAAATAATGGAGAATAATATTACGGTATAAAATCCACGTCTATATTTTAATTTTTAAGACTATTAATTAATTAATTAAATAAAATTATTTATAAATGGATGATATTTATAAATAATAAATTATTTAATATAAAATAATAAAATTATTTTTAAGCATAATACTTGAAATTTTAGTTTTCAGTTTCAATTAAAAATTGTGCATGTTAAATTACTAATTAACATGCATATATTCGTATTTACTAATTTAATGCATCATCTTTTTTAGTACATGGTTTTTCATAACAAACTAAATAATTTAGAAATCAAATTACTTATTCGTTCCCATTACCTTGAATCTAGTTTATTCTAAATTAACATGATATATATATATATATATATATATATATATATATTGAAATTTATAAAAATAAAAATAGTTTAATTATCAGTTTATTATTTTTCAATTTTATTAAAATATAATTACATTCCAATAGTTCAATTGATGAAAATAACATTTTATATAAAATATTAATAATGTGAGAATAGGTGTTATAATCAATTGAAATTCAAATTATTATAGATACATATAATATTATTTTCTCTGTCTGAGCGGAGGTAATTTTAACTTTGCAAAATATGAAAGCAAATTGAATGTTATTATACAGATTAACCGAAATTGAATGTTGATTGTTAAAATATCAATTATAAAAAATAAAAAATAATATTTAATTATTATTTATTAAAATTAATGACATAATAGGTAAAAAAAGAGAAATTTGTAGTTATTATGCAGAAATAATTCAGAATGACACATAAGTATTTTACAAAATATGAAAGCAAATTAAATTTTATTATGTAGATTAACCGAAATGAAATGTTGATTATTAAAATGTTAGTTATAGAAAATAATAAATAATATTTAATTATTATTTATTAAAATTAATGACATAATAGGTAAAAAGAGAGAAATTTATAATTATTATGTAGAAATAATTTAAAATGACACATAAATAATTTTGTTGACATGACAACATTTTACAAAATATGAAAGTAAATTGAATGTTATTATACAGATTATACCAAAATAGAATGTTGAATTGTTAAAATGTTAATTATAGAAAATAATAAATAATATTTAATTATTATTTAATAAAATTAATGACATAGTAGATAAAAAGAGAAAAATTTATAATTCAGAATTCAGAATGACACATAATTAATTTTCTTGACATGATAGTATTTTAAGTTGACATATTAACTAAATGCAAAATAACTTGAAAGTACGTTAAGAAAGATGGTATTGCACCAACTGAAAATGCATAAACCATTTTCATTTTTCACATTGTGAATCCGTTTAAGTTGAAAAAAAAAAAAAAGCATAAAAATGCCTTTCACATACGGTGTTTTGTAATTAGTCTCCAAAGAATCTCACATATGGTGAATATGCCTTTCATTTGAAGTTATTGAGCAAGGAGGAAACATAATTCCATTGAATAACGTTAATGAGATGGGTAAAAGATTAGCAGATATAGAAAAAGTAGGTAGTAGTTTCAAAGAATATTATCGAAAAAGTAGATAGTACTTTCAAAGAATATCATTAGAGGAAAAGTAGCTAAAGGGATAAGATCAAATTTGTTAATCTTTCAAAACAAAAAAAACTGATTAGAATGAAAATCTCAACAGAAAATTCTAGCTGATTCTCTAAGCACAACATATCTATATAAGCAATAAGCAGTGAAAATTATTGGCCATGAAAAGTTAACAAGATGGGAACATCTTCACGTTTGATGATTCTCCTTCTCCTTGTTTCCATCTTTGCATCATCGCATTATTCCAATGCATACCCTTTATCAACTCAGAAAAGATGGATCATAGATGATGCGACAGGGCAACGTGCAAAGTTGGTGTGTGGGAACTGGGCTGGTCACCTCAGACCAATGATCCCTGAGGGCTTAGACAGAAGGCCCTTGAAGGAGATCGTTGGTGAGCTTGTGGACCTCAACTTCAACTGTGTTCGTCTCACCTATGCAATCTACATGTGGACACGTTATGGCCATGGCAACGTGAATGCCACCTTTGCATCCTTGGATGCACCAAAGGTGGTGGAAGGCATAGCCATGCACAACCCTTCTGTGTTGGCCAAGACTCACATTCAGGTCTTTGAGGATGTGGTTCGTGAACTTGGGGCTCAGAATGTGAAGGTGTTGCTTGATAACCATGTGAGTCAGCCTAAGTGGTGCTGTAATGATGATGATGAGAATGGCTTCTTCCATGATAGGCACTTTGATCCTCAGGAATGGGTGCATGGCCTTACTTTGGCAGCCAAACACTTCAGTGGAAATCATGCTGTATGTATTCTGTTTCTAATTAATTTGCCTTTAATTTTCTTCTTTTTCTTCGTTAAAAGATAAAACCTACACACAATTTCTCATCATAATTAGTGTTTTTATTTCCGTAATAAAATATTTCATTAAATATCAATATATATTACTGAATAAAGTTTAATTTAAATAGAAAACAATACCAACATCAGTTGTATCTTTTGTCCTTAGTTAAACTACTCACTTGATTGATATAGTTATCCTAATATTAAATTTCAATCCCTATAAAAAAATTATAAAAAAAAAGTGAGAGCTTTTGTCCCTACACAATTTTTTGTAACGGTTTATCATGGGATAAAGTTTTTGTAGCAGTATTATACTACCAAGTTTTCTCCTATGTTATCATTAGGGACCAAAGTTTAACTTTTATACATGTATAGGGATTAAGCGTGTATTTGGAAAGTATGAATAAATTATATAAAATGTTTAATTTTGTTTAGTTATAAAAAAAATTAATTTTTATATAATAAATCAACTTAAAAGAAGAAAAAGAAGTAATCAAAAGTTTCAAAGTTTAAGGAGCTTATTTTTAAAGAAAAAAAGTTGTTTACAAATTTAAGTTATTTAAAAAATATAGCTTATTTTATAAACAATTTTCTTAAAAAAAAACAATTTAAATATTAGATTATAAGTATTTCCAAACATATTCTAAAACTATTTATTTATTATTATTTGTGTGTGTGTTGGGACTAGACTTTGGAACTATGGGAATAAAGTGAATTGTTTAAGTTATATATGTTTCCAATACTAAAAATTGAATATAAGATGACTTTATTGTTACTACTTTTTGTTCACTAACAGGTTGTGGCAATGAGTTTGAGAAATGAATTGCATGGTCCACGCCAAAATCTGCGTGATTGGTACAAGTACATGAGCGAAGGAGCGCTAGCCATACACAAGGAAAACCCGAACGTGCTTGTGCTTATATCAGGTTTGAACTACGACACTGAGTTGCAGTTTCTAAAGAGTAAACCGTTGAAGATAGACTTGGGTAAGAAAATGGTGTTTGAGACACACTTGTACTCATGGTCTGGAATTGGGACACTCAAGTTGAAAGAGATATGGACAAAGCAACCATTGAACAGGATATGTGCCAATAACATTAAGGGGATAGACCACAGAGCTGGGTTCCTTACCACTGGTGAGAAAGCAACTCCTTTGATCTTTACTGAGTTTGGGTTTAATGAGGAAGGTGCTTCAGTGGAAGATAACAGGTTCTTGACATGCCTTCAAACCTATCTTGTTGGAAGAGACATGGATTGGGGTTTGTGGGCATTTCATAGTAGCTACTATGTTAAACATGACACGGTTCAACTTGACGAGTCATTTGGTGTAATGGATCAGACTTGGCATCACCTGAGAGACCCCAACTTCACTTCCAAGTTCCAACTTTTGCAAAGGAAGAATCAAGGTAAGCTTGTTGAGTTAATAGTTAATAACATGATTTTTAAGGGAGTTATTATAAAAATTGAAAAATCTTGCATCACAATTTGTAAGAGTCTAGTCTTGTTGGTTGAATAAGGTGTGTATAAGTGTTGTAAATCCCATTATTCCCAAGTTCAATGTCCATGGATCAAAAAAATATAGTGATTTGTGATTGGATAACAGTGTTGGTATATTTAAACTTGATTCAAATAAATGACTATTTTTTCTGGCATGTGGAGAAAGCCTAATATGAATATCCTATCTTGTATTTTAACTTGTGTGTGTTTTTGATGCAGAACCTACCTCTAAGGCCCCCCTTGTAAATATCTTGTACTACCCTCTAACTGGTCATTGTGTCCAAGTGAATGACAAGAATGAACTTGAACTTGGTAGCTGTGAGAACAAAAACAGATGGGTTCATGGTGGAAAAGGGACTCAAATCCTTCTACATGGAACAAAGAAGTGCTTAACCGCGCCCGGAGAAGGGCATCCAGTTGTTGTTTCTGATGACTGCCAAAGCAAAACTAGCTCTTGGAAGCCTGAGTCACTGTCTAAACTTCACTTGGCCACTGTGGATCAACATGGGAAGCAACTTTGCTTAGAAAAGGATTCCAACTCATCCAGCATTGTGACCTCAAAATGTATCTGCATAAATGATGATTCTCTATGTCTTGATGATCCCCGAAGCCAATGGTTCCAGCTTGTTGCCGCCAATGTGTAGCTTAGGTTAACTGGATTATGATTAATATTGCAGGAATTTATCTGTTTTATATTCTGTCTATTTAGTGATATATTTAGGTTTAGTGAAATCTCATTATTACATAATAAAGTAAGATATTTGATGATAAACCTTATTTTCTGATGTTCAAGGTTATGGCAGAACCGGTTTGTCTTCGTGACTTAATGTAAATATAATATGTTCACCCTTTTAGAAGGAGTTTACATAGCCAATAATTAAATCATGTGTCCAATAAACCCCCCCTTAAACCTTTGTGTGCCCAACACAGAATAATACAAAATAGGTTTTGTCATGTGTTAATCTTTTTATCAAACAGTAACGTTGGCTTAATCTTGCATTCAAGTGTTGGTCTTGCCATTTGGCTTGGATTGGAAGAACCATCAAGATCCTGGAAACCTACCATTTGGTCTCAAATCCATGATTTATATACCTCAGTCTTGCTCCAATCTATCCGATTTGTTCATATTCCATACACGTGCTGTCCGGCTTCACTGCAATTTGATTAGTTTCTTAACATAATCCATATAAAGCTACAGGTCTTGTAATCCAATTTACCTTGCTACATTATGGTATGGAGCACTAGCACTAGTGCTTTCACGCTTACTTGAGAGAAATATATTACTGTAAACAACGAAGTTGGTTAAAACATGCTTAAAAATACATGTCAATAGTTTTTACAACGATGGTTTAAAATTTTGAAATTTAACAATTAAAGACTGCTCAAAACCATCACTCCTAGCATACCTCAAGAACTTTACCTGCTGAAGATTTTGATTTTGGGAGTACATATAAATAATTTTTTTATTTTCATGAGAATATTTATAACCATTCTTCTATCTCCCTTAAAAACTTGTTGATGGTACATTATTGATAGAGAACAACTCCTCGTGCTTTTGTGTTGGCATCAGAGTACCTGACAATGTCTGACTATGAATAATGCCGGTTGCTTTGGAGGAGGAAAACCACAATGTCACTATGAAGCATTGAAATAACAGTGGCCTTGATAGGCCTGTCTCTCACTAGTTCTTGAACACACAGAAGTCCAATATGCGCACATCTAGTGTTCCTTCTCCCACTAACAATCTCTAGTAGTAAAACTCCAAAGCTAAAAACATGTGATTGCTCACAGACAATTCCTTACATTGCATATTTTGGAGAAATATAGTCATTGCATTGAAAGCTTAAATGTATGAGCTCTCAAGTGTTCTACCATATTATTGGATAAAGTGAAAGACATATTTACTATGATTCAACAATTCTTTTTTATTTTTTCCCTCGCTTCCTTGTCTCCAAATCTTTTAATTATATCAAAATTTGATATTTTTAGATTTAGTCTTTCATCCAACAATATGTTACTTGTTTTCAAATCTCTATGTATAATTCGTAATATGAAGATAAAGTAGTCCTTAAACAATTCTTTCAATTATGTTAAACCTTTTTTCCAATCTTAGGTTTTTTGTTTCAATGGATCTACAAAAATGAATTTAAGGAGAGTCAGACAAATATTGTGTGAGATAACAACATTCAAGTCAGAAAAAGAAAAGTAGCTAAACCACCAAATTTGTATATAAGGACTCAATGTCAGCCAAGTAAGTTTCCCTTCACCTATGTTCCTTAGAACCATCATCGGATTACGAGAACTAACCGAAGATATAAGGATCCAAACTTAAGTTTGGCATGTACTCGACTCATCTTTTCTTGTGCTTCAATGCAGCAGCCAAGAAGTCTAACTAGATTCCTGTGTTGAAGCTTAGAAATAACCTCCACTTCATTTAAAAATTCTTGCATCCCTTGTCCGGATGCCGTTGAAAGTCTTTTAACTGCTATTTCCTGATCTTCTAACTTTCCCTGGTAAATCAAATGGCAAAACTTGAAATGCTTGTTTCTTGAAATATGATGAACTTAGACAGATCAAAATTACCTTGTATACTGGACCAAAACCACCCTGACCAAGCTTATTTTCTAAGTGAAAGTTGTTTGTTGCAGTTGCAAGCTTTCTAAAATCAAACAATGTTAGGTCATGGATTCCAATCGTCTTAGGTCATCAAACCTGCTTCCATTATGAACTTGCATATCCATTACCCCTGTGGCAAAATGTATGATGATATGTTAGTTTCATAAATGCTGAAACCTTATACCATGAGTAGCAGCCAGTGTACATTTACAAAGCTACTACTGCCTGAATCCTAACTTAATCAAAACAAGAAAATTAAAAGCAAATTTAAAAACCATGAAGCAAGGATTTATTGTCCTTCCTAAGAATATGATCACAAAGCAAAATATTAAAAGATCGTAAATTAAAACATGGTCTAAGACTGGATAGAAAAATAGCTATCAGAACAAGCAAACTATGCATCAAACTGAATAGACTATGTAACATATTGAGCAGACGAAGCTATACGACAACACAAAAACAATGAAGATTGTAACTTATAAATCAACAACCTCACATAAAAGAGAGAAAAAATTGATATGAGATATTATAGATATGATTTCAATTTTGTATACATTAAGAGTGCTACATCAAGTGCTTAAACAAAGAAGATATGAAGTCCCTCGTTGGACAAAAAAAAAAAAACTAATGATTAAGCTAAAAGACAAGCATCATTTTAACGATTTTAATTAAATTATTAATAAATTAAATAATATTATTTTATAATATAAATTATTTATCATAAATTTAAAATATAATTTATATATTACTGTTAAAAAATATATAATTTATATATTTAA